ACATTGGAGATCAAATTCAGGTTTCTTCATCCTGGCTTGCTTCTTCTTCTTCTTCGTCTTCCTCTTCGTCTTCCTCTTCTTCTCTCTCTCTCTCTATATATATATATATATGTATATATAAAAGAGAAGAAAAACATTACCAAAAGGGGACAAAAGTGGTTACGTTGCTTTTCTAGAAATTCTGCATTATGTTCATCGCTGTCTTTTCTCGAGCCGTAATTAGTCAAAGTATAGAAAATGAATTAAGCACGCGAGGAATTTGCAGGTCCTGAGCAACGCGAGGTACAGAAGCGTGGAGCACCGAGTAATCGTGAATTCGGTCAAAGAACGAGTGTCGCTGGCATTTTTCTACAATCCAAGGGGTGACTTGCTTATCCAACCTGCGCCGGAGCTGGTCGCGGAGGACTCCCCTGCCCTATATTCGCCCATGACCTACAATGAATACAGAGTTTTCATCAGAACAAGGGGCCCTTGTGGCAAGTCCCAAGTTGAATCCCTCAAATCCCCCAAGTAGATGAATGATCCATTGTATCTTGTATTGTATTCATCTAAGCGCTTGATTATAGTTAATCAATCTCCTTATTTTCCCAGTTTCACATTGCTAGTGCAAGTTTGACTTCCAGAACAAATGCTATAAAATTAATCAACTGGACGGCCAGCATAGTTAATCACACGTGCATATCTGAGCAAATTTAATTTACATGAGACACATGGCAGGATACAATTCCAATTCTCAAACAAAAACTACTACACGTCATTGACAATATTATAATTTAAACATTATGTTTAATTTTAGGCTAATAACTTATGAAGATGATTAAATTGAACAATAACCTAATCATGTAAGGATCAGAGGTCTCACAAGTTGAGTTGTATCCAGTTCAAATTAACTCGTGTAATTTTTTTTTATCACATTTGGTATAAACTCGTATAATTTTGGTGTAATTACCAACTTAGTTGTATGAACATATAATTTTCTTCGATGAAATTGAAGGAAATATATATTCTTTTCTTTTCCCTTTTTTTTTTTTGGGGGGGGGGGGGTGGTCATTGAAGGGCTTTAAAGCCCCTACATTCCAAACGCATATTCAATACAAGTTGCGGCAGAGGCTACTTGTTAAATTCAACTGGGTGAGAGTGAATACATGAATTAAAATTTGCAAACTATTTTACACATCGATGCCTCCGTTCAAAATCCAACAAATGCTTTGTATACTCCTACCAGTATGGGGGCTTACGAGAGCGTAGACTCTAGTGATCTTCTTCTGGGCTCGGCCTGATTTGAACAAACCGCTTGTTTTTTGGTCATATAAATAATTTAAGTAAAATTCTATACTAAGCGACCATGAAACTTAATGATAAAATGAAATTAAAAGATAACACGCCTCCTTGATTTTAGGGATTTCACATTAATTTGTGTCTATTGCTAAAAAATGCCGTGATTTTCAATCGATTTGTGCAGGTGGACTCATATAGTTTAATTAGGTTCGGATGAAATAATAAGTTCGAACATCCTCCATTTAGTTTTAGAGAAATTTGAATTCAAGTTTTGTTCATTCCCTCGTCAATAAACATTATTGTGTAAGAAGTATTGTATGTCTCCATTTGGGACCGCCGAACTTTAGAATCAATAGGCTAATCTCCCTCCCTTTTGAGCTTTACTCTTTCTTTCAAAAAAAGAGAGAATTTGGGACCGGTCGACAAATTGGAATTCAAATTTTTTGATTCTTTTAATCCTTTTTGCTTGGATCAAGTGTCTAACTCCTCCCTTCGTGTTTATCTATTACGCACTGCTCCTCGTTCCTGTCTTCGCAATGCTTCGTCATATGCCGCTGCAGTGTCTTTCGAGTAGATAGCTTGAATTAATCGTCCTCAACTCAACTGAGGCGGGGAGAAGTTACCGGTCAAATTGAGAAAGCATAGCGGACCCTTCGATTCATTGAATATCAAGGTCGGAGGCAATAATGTTTGGAGAATTAGTCAGCTTTGAAAAGTAATACTACTGCCTACTCTTATCCCTGTGGATAGTAAATATTGTAGGGCGGGCGGGCTGGCTGGCTATTTGCCACATTCCAGAGGTTAGGCGCTCTGAAAAGAAGCACGTTTTATTGGCATGGTAATATGACAGTCACGGTCATTCACTTTTCAGCCGAGACAGCTAAGTATGAACACCAGAACTATCACCAAAGTCTCTTCTAAATCCCATGGCCAATCGCCTCAAGCCCAATTTTCCTGTTACTCACCAACCAATGCCACGCAAATTTCCTACGACCTGTATTTTCATTCCCTTTTTTTTTTTTGAAAAAAAAACACACACACACGCATATCCGTGACTATCACGGAAGGTTTTGTAGGATAGCCAGTATGTCCATTTAGTCATTAATTGACCATTGCTTAATGCAATTCAATTTTCAAGCATACAAATCTTGGGAAAAAGGAAACACGTAATTGATCATATTCCTTCTCTCTCTCTCTCTCTCTCTTTCCCCCCTTTTTAAAATACATCAGAAAGAATATCTCATTTGATCAATGTAAGAGCAACACTTGGCTAACACTAGCTTCGACTTTATGTGGTGTTTGGGTGACTTGCTTTCTTGAGGTCGATAACAAGGAAGATGAACTACGTATTCTTTGCTGAATCTAGCATCTGCGGCTATAATTAATAGTACATTGCTACAGTTGTTATTGCATTAGCTAAATACTTCTCCTTATTTCTCCCTTTTTCCAACTTCTTTCTACTTTTTCTCGTTTTCTTAAAGGCCTTCTTCTCCCGTTCTGATGGTCTTCCTCTCATTAATTTTTTTAAAATTATTTTTAAATAGAGTCTCTTATAAGTAACATGCTTAGTGAGAATTTTTTGTTTCTCTTACTAGTTTCTAATAACAATTTTATGTTCTCCAAGGGCTTCCTATGGAGATTTTTGCATTATTTTTTCTTATTTTGTTGTTAGATCTAAATTTATTTCAAATCTAGTTGTGAAATTTTTTTCGAATCTCGGATCTGTTTCGACAAAATTGAACGTCATTTTGGAGTTTAAAACTATTGATTAGCAGATCTTGTAATTGTAACATGTATAGAAGGGAGTTGCAGCTATTTATCTTATTAGAAGACAGTTTTAAAATTTATTGTATTTTTCAATCCTGTTCATAATTTTTCAGATTTATTGTTTTTGTTAAATTGTAGATTTTTAATTTTTAGTACATGTTTAACCTATCATTACGACACTGACATATACTAAAGCATGTTGGACGATTTTCAATAATTCGTTAATAAAATTTTCTTTTTACCAAAAGAAAAGCTAAACGGTTTTAAATAGAGCAAATTATCCGGGTAGCCACTGAACTTTCGAATAGTCAAGATTTGACCATTCAACTATTAATAGTATATTTTTATCCACTGAACTATCAAAAGTATGTATTTTGAGTCATTCCATCTTATTCCACCGTTTACTCTGTCAAATTTAAGAGTTCACACGATTCACGAGCCATACTATTAATAATTAAATATGACAGAATTCAACGTGAAGATAGACGGAGTGATGCAAAATTTACACTTTTGATAGTTTAGTGAATACAAACATATTATTAATGGTTGAGTGGTCAAAACTCGATTATTCAAAAAATTTTTAGTGACTATCCAAGTAGTTTACTCATTTTAGATAACTCAGTAGGGCACAAAACGACCTCTTTACTTCATCTTGTACGCCCGTGGGATACCTCGTGCCACCAACGACCTGTAACTGAGTTTCAAAGGCCCAAAAGGAATACTAAGGAACAACCCAAATGGAAAAAGCTTGTTTTACAATGAAATTTAGGTAACGATCTGCTTTGTGAGAAGATATTAGCTGGATTATGATACGGTGTATTAAAACCAAGCACCTATCAACGGAAAATGATGACGCGTCATTTTTTGTCCGGTGTCCGTCACCAGACAAGGAGCGACCGATCATAATATTTCATGGCCTTAGATTAGTACTGGCCATTGCTGTTTGATGCAAATGGTTTCCTTTGCTCATGTCCCAGCCATTTCTTGTGAATAAACTCCAAAACGGATTAAAAATATATTTCCAAAAAGAATGAAGAATAAGTTGGGCGAATTGTCTCAGTGGAGCAAGTAAATGTTGGGCTCCTTTGGTACAGTCATATTTTTTGCTTTCCTATTAGATTTCCAGGTGATAAAGATCCCTTGCCCTTTTTCATTTTTGTTCCTTTTTAAGATTCCTGTTGAGCCATGAGTTTGGGGCCCTAAAACGAGCAGATCGAGTATTTGGATCAAGTGGAAATCCCTCGTCGACTGTAAATGTTCTAAGTTCCCTAGGACTCATCTAAAAACTGGACGCTCAATAATGGATTCGGGGCTAAGAAAGTTGACCGTCTAAGACCCAAAGCTTCCCCTCGCAATAGAAAGAAAGTGTCAAAGCCCATTAGGCATTGTCCATATCCGGATTCCCATTTCATTATTTTTCTTTTTAAATTTGCAAAGGCAATTATTCTTAGTCCTACTCCAAAAGGCAAACTAAGTGTATAACTGCATTTTTTATGAACAAATAGGAAGCACCTATGCTTGCTTCTCTTGCGTGATGCACTAAACAGGATTTGAATCCCGTCAACTCTTATGCTATTCTGTAGAAGAGTTTTAAAGAAGTTCTCCCTAATCATTGGATCAATGTCCAATAATTCCCGATGGTTAAGCACAAATTACAGAGTATAAAGTCGTGCTTAATTATCAAGGAGGAGAGTGTTTTTCCCTTTTTTGGATAATATCCGAAACCTCCCCTGAAGTTTTTCTTAATGTCACTTATAAAGTTCTAAAAGTAAGCATTAGGAATATTTTGATTTAACAAAATGAGCAAAAGGGTACTTTAGAATTTTTAAAAACTCTGTTATGCAAATAACAAAAATAAGAGGTGGTAGTAATATTTTTAAAACATTAGGAGTACTAAATGATATTAAGAGAAAACTTGGGATAGATTAAATCAAGTTTATTGTTGTAATCGCCATTATTTGAATTACACACGATCTGATTTGATTGATTCATGACATGTTTGTAACACCTATACCAGTTAAGCCCATTTCCACCTGGTCCAATCCCATGCCATGGACTGATTCTCAGCAGGAAAGGAAAGAGTAAATGCCTATACTTTCCCGCTGCAAATTTATCTTGTCAAAGCTCTAAAATGCTTTTTTCAGTTTAGAGGATCATACAGTGCTGGCAACATGGGAGACTGGGTTGCAACGCCCCATGGATATCCCATTTCATGAGCCCAACACGGGCTGTTCAATCCTCTGAGGAGAAACGGGCTCTGATGGCCGTTGTTGTAGGATTCAAGGTCGCATTTTTGTAGCAAAGCATCGTCATCTTCTATCCTTATCCTCTTTGCTGCTCGAAATTCTGCAGCAGCAGCAACAGCAGGTCGTATTTCGTTTCTGTCTACCTCAGAGTCGGACTCCTCGCACAGAGAAGGCAGGGATGCAGCTGGAGAGTAAGGCTTGCTTGGTTTTGCATTTGCCGCCCTGTTTTTGTGTTCGTTTGCAATTCTCTCTAGAAATCTTCCTTGAGCCTCGATTTTCATCTTCAAACTCCTTTGAACCTGAAATAGGATAAGAAAGGCAGAATGAAATTCCAACTTGATCTTAAGTTCCAACTTGGGGAATAGAATAAGGGGACGATTTGCTTTACTTCAAGCTGATCACTCAGCCGCTTTTGCACTTCTTTTTGCATTTGCAGTGCTTCGTTAAGTTGAGCGCCTCTGTAATAACAGGGAGAAAGGGCAAAAAAAAAAAAAAAAAGGTTGGATCCCCCGGCGCCGGGGGGGGAGAATAGATTTTGTTAATTGGAATCTGACTTGCTGCTATTCATCTGAAAATCAACAGTGATGGCTGCTACTTACGATGTTGCGCTGAAGTTTGGCAATATTTCAGATATGCTTCTCCTTTCAAACCTGTTGCCCCCTGAATATGAATGGATTGAGGAGACCCATCATTCATCAAATCAATATACTAAACTAAACTAAACGAATGGGAATGGCCCTTTCTCTTCCTGTTCCTGGTGGACGTACGGAAACAGAGATCTGAAAGGGAAATGAAAGCCAAATATATATACTTTTTTTTCGAACTGGATAAACTTACTGTTGGGTGATTCTGGGATGAACTTTGACATCCTGTATTTCTGGAATAATAAAAAAGACACATAGAATACAAGCAAATATATTATTATTAAAGCTATGCCTCCAAAATGGTTGCCAAGTCATATGTACTGAAGTTTCTAAAAATCTGACGTAATCTACAGGACGCCAAGCAAAACGCTTTGGTTAAACAATTATCTCATTTCAATCCTAAAATAGTGCTCTCACTATTTCGGTTTATCTTACAGCACCATTTTAAAGTGAAGTTGGACCTATATATTGCGCCAAATCAAGAAGGCTTAATAATTATTAAGTGCCATTCAGAGATATTTGACAATTACTATTTCTTCACTACTAGTTCTTAACTATATGCTGATCCTGATCGATCTATATGCATGATTTATGGTGCATCTCAGGCGAATATGTGATGATACCGGCTGGCTGACGACGACGACTTGCATATCGGATTTTATTTTTGATGCATAAACGGTAAAAAAGTGCAGACGGGAGGGAAACAGAGAAACTCTTTAGTGACAGAGACGAAAATTTCCCATGATGATCGCGATGGTAGAAAAGAGAGTTTTAACTGCTTCCGATCATAGAAATGCAAGTCCTTCCCTCCCGCACCATTTAATGCATATTCTATCTTGTTTTCTCCGTGTACAGACAGAAGGGCAGGGTGGGAGAAGCAGCAGCAAGATTCCAGCCAAAATGTTGGATCAAATTGAACAATCAAAAAATTTGAATGGAGCGGAGTGACTCATGAAGGCAGGGGAGAGCACCTGCAAGTGGCTTTTAACGTGGAAAATAGTGAGTCCAGGAATGCCCATAGCCTTCAAAATACCCTTTGGTGTTGCCCCTGCAGTATAGACATCAAGAGGATGACAAAATCAATCAGCTGCCGCAACACACGAGATTGTGGAGGAGAAACTCGGCAGGCTACGCAGAAGAACATTAATGCATGCACCAAATTGCGCAGAAGAATATCTCAATTGGCTCACTTACTGTCTGGACCACCAAGCTGGTTAACCGCCTTCTCGAAGAGACTGTGAAGTTCTTGGGTCCATTTCAAGCGCTCTTTCGAAGAGCCATCGGAACGACTCGCCCCCATGTTGACCTCACTAGTCTCCCGGGCATGAAAATGTGCAGCAACCCGCCCCTCCGGACTCGGTATTGTCATGCAGGAGATAAAAAGGCACTAAAGGACTTGTTGCCAGTGAAGATGATGTTATGTGGGCGATAGGCACTAAGCGGGCGTGGGGTGGGATGCCGTAGATTGTCTTCAATTTTCGGAACAAACCAAGCCAACGAAAAGAGTCCTATTTTTCTCAAACTCGAGACTTGTTTCTCTAGTTAGCATCGCTTGGTGAAGAAATCTATGGATAAAGATCGGAACAAGAACATAAACAGACAAGATACGTTCGTAAGCGTGATCTTCATGCCCAAATCAAATCTACTGCAAATTATATAAAGTTATGACATAGAAGATACGAGAGTCATTTTTTCTTGTCTACACTCTTGTGGCGTTTACCATTTGAGCCTTGACCTGCGAGATCCTAAAAAATTTGCTTACCTTTTACCAATTGGGGCCTCGACAGACTAGATTCTCTGCAAATTTGCTTACATCGACAATGCCAACTTGCTAACGAACAATTCTAAAAGAAGATAATGGTAAGACTCTAAAACATAAACAAGACTTCACAGGATCAGAAGATTTGATCTTGACCCCGTAAATAAATATTTCTTGCGTGGCCTGTTCACATAGTAATGCAACCAAACTGAAGATAGGCGCACCCCTCATTAAATGATGATGTAACAACAAAACCAACCATTGAAATTGTAAGAATATCTATTAAAATGAAGAGATTTCTATATAACAAAGCATCAGAGCAAGGGTTTGGTAGGGAAGCAGCCAAGCTTTTTGTTCCCTAAATTGCAAACAAACATAATATAAGTCCATTAAAGACATTATAAAGTGATATTTCTATACTACTTTTGTCAAAACACCACTGATCCTGAGTTGGCCTTGAGTAGTGACAACTACTGCCTGCCTCGCTTCAAGCTGCAAGATGGACATTTGTATTGCTTTATATTTTCAGCTTTAGCAGGGGTAATTTTCACACACTTCCCATGGAACCACCTCTCACAAATGTCACAACCAATCCAAAACTCATCTGCATTATAATTTCCCCCACAGCTGCCACAAAGTGTTTCGCTGTGTTCATCGTCATCCTCTTCATAACTTTCATCTGCCAATCTTGGATTGCTTTTAGCCGGACCATCATTTGATCTCTGCAAATAAAGATCACACGTCAAGGATGGAAGTGCAAATGTAAATCAAATATAAACCAGAAGAATGTTCAAAAAATTAGTTTCTTCTGTTTCCGTGACTGAGGGTAATCTAGTTGTCTCATGGTATATAAATGACAATGCAGCATATAGTCCTTGGAAGGAGGACACGCAAGGAAAGGGTAATAGACAAATTTGGGTCAGTTGTGCTGGTTCCTTGAAAAAGCCAGTTGCAGAAATCAAACTTCAAATAAAAGTATCTAAAAGTTACACATTGTTATATAAAATGCGCCATTAAGTGCTGGTCATACAATCAGAATTAGAAGATTATCTCCACAGCATAATTCATCAGCCAAAGAAGTCACCCCAATTTAAATGGGAAGAAAGAAAGAAATACAATTAGAGAACAAACAACAGCCACTTGAACTTCATTACTATCGACATACCTTTGTGCTGCCACGAGATCTGCTTCCACTATCCACACTGGGCTTTTCTTTTGCAGGTTTCCTGTCTGTCACAACCTCAAAGACAGTTGGAAGATCGTTGATTAAGCTGAATAAACGCTTCCTGTCCAGAAAGCAGCATAAATAGTTTTGGATTAGTAACTTCATACCACAATCTGTTAATCTGGTTCCACACAGACACACAGAAATAATGGAATCATAAACGATTAACTAAATGTTCGAGGATCAAAAAGAGGCGGTCATGCATATCAACACAACACTACATTAGTTCACGTCATAGGCATATGCCAACTTTCACAATAATATCATGCAACTGCTGATTTGATACTTTACCTCTCTGAAAGAGCTCGAATTAGTATAATATCATGCTTGGTCTGCTAGAGAGAGAGAGAGTAAAAACGATGGATTAACAATTGTTTCTAGTAATGTGGCAAGCTCACTACCTTGAAGATAAGTGCACAACCTATGAAATATCAAGGCATCACAGTATACCAGCCAAAACAGCAGATTAGGACATCTTGCATATTGGAAAGAATTTGACTAATTACCATACCTAATTTTGATTTACTGTACAAATTAAGATCAAGCAATATTAAGAAGTCCCAGAACTGAAAGAGCTGGAGTGAAGGAACAGATAACTGGTTTTGAATCAAGGTATACCAGTCAAAACAATGTGTAGGACATCTTGAATCTTTAGAAGAATTTGATTGCACCATAGCAAATTTAAGTTAAATTTTACATATTGATAACAAGCCATAGTGGCTGAAGGTGAGATCAGGACAAAAGGCTTAGTCATTAATGCCAAAACAAGCCAATTAAGCATCCAAAACCTCGCAACCCAGCTTCCACCCCACGCAGCGAGCACCTCCCCCCCCCCCCCCCGAGAGAGAGAGAGAGAGTGTGTGTGTGTGTGTAAGCATTTACAGAATAATTAGTGATTGATGAACTTGATTGCGTACGAGATATTAGTAACAGCGCTCATATCTAAGCAAAATATGCTTGATCAGATAGACAAACATATCTCTGACCAATTGAAAGTTTCACAAGGATCATTATATTTCCAGGCAAACTGCAAAAGCTTGATGGCACATCAGAAACGTTGCTTAAACTCATAGAAGATATGCTGTTTTGCCTTTGAGTAATTAAGATCGCTTGCAAAAAGGCAAATAAATCTATATACATTACATTTTCTTCACACATCACACACAAAGAAGCAATCTTGAAATAAACGATGCGAATAATGCAGCCATAGAACATTCTTAAGCATGCAACACCAACTTTGGAGACTACCCAATTCAAATGAGGTCATTGTTATCATTGACAGTCTAATCCCGGAATTCCAAAGACAGTGCCTTGAAACAGCTAACCTTTCATTTCGATTAAGCCTAGCACCAAGATAGAAAGCCACAGAGAGCAACCAACAATCGCTGTGCACAGCAACCAACGAGAGCCAATCTCGACGGTTCATTCCATCCCTAGCAAAATTGATCCCGAGTGCAGGCTCTGGAAGCTCTGGAGGTACTTCTTCAGCCGGAAGATTCACTTCCCAGGTCTCATTTGGGTGACCATACAGGCACAAATTTTCCTTCTCTACACAGCCCAGAAAACAGACCGACTTGATCATACCACAAAGAAAGCAAGAACTATAAAGCCAAAAAATCTGAAGCAAAGTTAGAACATGGAAGTCGAACAGAAGGGCCTAGTTTATGCATATTTAAGAAATGAAAAGGAGTATATATCTCAATCGAAGATACTGCAGGTAGGTGCTTTATTCTTTTTGGTTCGATGTATCGCGTAAAACAAAGCATATAATGCAATTCAACTCAGTAGACAGTTCCAACCGTTTATTCAAGGTAAATGACTCTTCTTGCGCAAAGGAATCTTCACTTGCTGACTTTCTGTCTCATATGTTTTCAAGAAAATAAAAATGCTAAAAATAATACTATCATCATGATCAGTCAAAAGTTTTCCCTAATTCTCCCAGGGAACAGCGATACAATCATCTTTTCAAATCTCCAACGTAAAAGTAATTTAAAAGCGTATAGCTCGATATCAAAATATGAATGTTAGAGCGCAAAAAATCAGAGCACCGGCTTTTAAATTGTAGGAATTCCTTGAATTAACAGAGCCTTTTTGATACGAGGATAAATGCAGTTTTATACTACTATAGGATCAATCTTAAATATTTGTACCTTCCTTGAAAAGCAACTGAGTTTAACCAACACGCTCCGATCTACAGTAAACAAAACCGTAAATCTCGTAAAAGCAGAATTTACCTGGATCGCAAAGTCCATAAAAGTCATCCACATCTGATCACACAAAACCCAAAAAAAAAGAGCTTTTTTGAATACCAGGATAAAAAATGGAGAAAAGGCTGATTGCAGCGTGAAATTAAGCAAAATGATAACAATAAATTAGACACTGAATAACTAAGGAAAAGATTAGAATGGATTAAGAAAGGTAGGTAGGGATTGAGTACCGTATGTTAAAGCACGAACTATTCCGGCACGACGAGCGCTGTAATCTTTGAAGATCTCTTCTACAGTTCGGGGGTTTGAGGAAACCGAAGACATTTTAGAAGCTATAAGTCCTCCTCCTAACAACCCCAAATTAACTGATTTTCAACCCGCTCCTTTTTTTTTTTTAATTATTCTATTGAGTAGTATTATTTATAAAAAAAAAAAAACCAATTTAATTTTACACCCACAGGCAGGAGGAGGATTGAGAAGACAAGGATTTTATTAATTACAATTACGAGCACAGCTCTAAAAAATTACCTGCCGCTTCACTTTGTGTTTGCGTAGTAATACTGTACTCTCTAGTATTTACTAGCGTATTATTGGATCCATTCCATGCCCAATCCAATACCGCTAAGTTAAATTTTTGAACTTAAAAAGAGGAGACAATAAAGAAGAAGGGGAAGAAGAGAGAGGACGGAATTTGAGAAGTGGGATTAACGCTATCGCTTTTAACTCTTTCCTGCAAGAATCAATTTTGGAGCACCTAATTTTTACTCAAGCCAAGCTTCTTAATTATACTCTCTTTCCTCTCGTGTCACTTTTTTTTAGGTCAAAATAAATGCGGAGTGTGATAAGCAAAAACACTTTTGAGTGTCGTAAGCCAAAAAAAAAACTTTTTTTTTTTGCCAAAGGAAATTTTAAAACAACACTATACTACTTTTCTCTTCTATTATTTGTGGCATAAAAAAAATAATTGACATAATAATAAAAGGGTGATTTGGAAACATATTTGTAATGCATGTTACCGTTTTGGAAAAAAAGAAAACATATTGTAATGCAACAAAAAATTTTTTAAATAATTTGCCATTCAAATACACCAAATTGCATGATCCGTAAAGAATTCACAACACATGCTTTCAATTAACACAAATACTATTTTTTGTATTGAAAAATATCCCTTTATTTCGTGTTAGTTTCTATAAACATTGAAGAGATTTTAAAACTAAGATAATCTTTTTAACCCACGAATGCATTCATGAATTTTTTTTTTTAAGTTCCAAAAGAAAAAGAAAAAACCAACTAAATGGAGATGACTCGTCCGCTCGCAACCCACATCAAACCAGGTGCATGAGTTTTTTTTTTCCCTATAACTGCACATCTAATCATTCCTATTCTATTTCTACTCTTACTCTATCTTGCTCTAAGGGTGGCCCAATTGAGTCGAGAGAACCCATGAAAACTAAATCATCATCGAACCAAACGAGTGCAACACACACCCGTATGTTGATTTGGTTGCTTTAATTTTCTGCCAAATGGACATTCTATCTATGTGCCACTTGAATTTTTTAGTTTATGTTTTTTTTTCTGGTAATAATTGATTTTAATCTTTTTTGCACATCCTTATATATTGTAAATTGTGACCAATCTATTAATGACCTGCCTTTTATACCTTTCATATGTTCATATTAATTATGTTATTATCTCTTACACTCTTTGTGACACCCCCACTTCTTCCAAGGGCGAATCCAAGGGTATTCGCGGGACGCCTGCCCAACTCTCGTTAGGGCTCCAGACAAATCGATTCAATCTTATCGATATTTAACAATTAATACGAGTCAAATAAAGAAAAGTCGCTTCCATAATTAACCATCCAAGACTCACACCACGAGTTCAAAATACATCAGTTATTCAATCCTTACATCAAGTTTCCAAAAGATACATCAGTTCCCCAAACTATACAACAATCACAAGTCTAGCCAAAACATTTGAAACCCTAATACCAAAATACATCAAAAGGGGTTCCTCCGAAGTTCACTTCCTCCATTCCTGTTAAGGAAAACAAACTAATGGGATGAGCCAATACTCAGTGAGGCCAAGAAACACACATGCAAACACATAATCCAAGTAGTAATAACAATTACATTGTAAGTAAAGCTATCAAATTCGAATAATTCACATTTCGATTAGGAAAATTAAACAGAAACAATTCAAGGATACTGTAACTCTCAGGGGCTAAATTCCACGTAGTCAAGTTAAAATCTTGATCACAACTCATGTTGACACTCTGTCAACCATATAAGTATCAAATCCGTAGATACACCACTTTTCTTCGAATCCCGTCACCGTTACACCCCCGTTACCGGGCCCGCTTATCAAAGTTTTGATAATACTCGAATATATCATGGCAATACTACACGAGTAATGCCGAACAAGATCTCTCCAATAGATCATGCTCTACGAATATCTCATGGTTTGCTAAGCTTATCGACCAATCCCATGCTGGCTCGATTCGCAAAGTTAACCAACGAGTTTGGGCGTCCCCCAAATACGAATACGAATATAAGTCGATAAGCAACGCTCGAATCGACGATTCCAAATAGGAATTACAAATACGAATCACAAATTCGAATCATATCCACATTACTATGTACAAATCGGATATAAATTCTCATAGCAAAATACGAATATAATTTCATTTAAAAGAGAACGAGTGCGGTAAAGTACACCCTCCTCTCAAAATTTCAAATTCATATAACGGATAAGAAACAGATAACCACTTAACAACAAGTTCATGCACTTGACACTCACCAATCAAAATATGAGAGTGAGTGTGCAATTAAGCCTTTAGGTGGTTCCCTCGAGATCCTCTTGAATGTCTTCTTGAACACCTGAGCAATTAGTAATTGATAATGAACCATCACTCATAAGACCCAACTATCATGAAAGATCGTACACTGGTACAATTTAGAAGATATCGCAAAAACGAGCATTAATTTCTTTGTAAATCGAGTTCAAATGTGGGGTTCAAAAACCCAAGAAAAATCTAACTTTTATCCTTAAAAATCATTGGATGGAAACAAGTAAGTATGAAATCATATAAATAAATTTTCAGATGAACGATCGAAATCGAAGTGAAGAGGCCACGTCACAATCCGGCCAAGAATTTTCGATTTTTTGGGCATTCTTTGAAAAAATCATAACTCACTCCCTGAATGTCCAAAATTGGAAAACTTGGACCATTGGAAACTACTTTCCAAGTACTAAAAGTTCTTAGAAAACAATTTTCCATGATTCCAAATGGAAGGTATCCAAAAATTAGCTCAAAGTTGCTGTTCTGGGGCATTGAAGACAGGTTTAGGTTGATTTTTGACCAACTTTGAAAATTTGGAAAAATTTACTTGATCCGAACTAACCTCTGAAATTTGGTATTCTATTAGAGTTGCAATCCAAGCTTAAAACAATACAAACGGAACGAGATTCGGAGTTTTGAGCACCAAGATATGGTAGTTCAAAGTTACTAAGATTTCATTGTTAATCAAGGGTTTTTCCAAACTCAAATCAGGAACTTTGGAAGTTTAGTTGAGTAGCGAAACGGATTCGAAATGGTACCAAATTTAGCAGTATAATACTACCATATAGGGACTATTTCTCTGAAAAATTTCGTAGAAAAATACGTACGGGAAGATGGTTAACGAAACCATTAAAGTTCTAAGGAGTTTCAAGGCAAATCTGCCTTGGACTTCCGTTTTTCCGTTTTCAAGCATTTGGCTAAGGAAAATTCCTCAAACATGGTTCATTGGTGTTGACAAGGTCTAATAATCATCCAAGATGTGTTTGGTAGGTGATTTACACCAAAACTTTCAAATAGCAAGACCCAAATCAATATTGGTTACAATCTGCCCATAATGAGGGTTTTCGCCTACAGAGTCGGTTTCGAAATCTGGTCATAATTTACTCAATTTAATTTAGAATTGAGCATGGTTGGTGGAGTTGGAAAATAGACTCATAAGGCTAGATTTTCTCAGAAGAAACCATTTTCAAAATCTATCCATAACTAGCTCGTTCGTGAGCATCAAGTTACAGCTCATGTGCTGCCTTACAGGAAGCAACGAAACAGGACAGCTAATTTCAAAAGAATGGTTTGGTATGCTCAAGTGGGACCAGAACAAGAATTTTATTCCAACGGAAAGCTGGGAATGTCTAATTTCCAGTGCCACAAACGGCACTCGATTCCGATATCGGAGCGATGAGTTATAGCCAAAACAAGATGACTGCCTGGGCAGTGACGGGAACCAATTCCAGATTTTTAAGCTTCCGAAATTCCAACATTTGGGTGACCAAATCAAGTTATTTTTCAATGAAACTTTTTACACACACAATATAACATGTAAACAACATAAACAAGCTATTAGAACCTCAAAATTTCACACCAAAGTGCTCGAACAAAGCAGGGGCAAAATGGTCACTTTTGGTTATTGCACCACCTTGAGTTTTTATCAACAACCCAACATTAATCCACTAGTTTAGGCACTAAATAAACATTATTACCAGTAAAACACTACAAATCAGTCCATATATCCAAGGTGGAAGTTCATAGAATCCACACAACCATTTTTCCAACATAAACAAACTACCCATATGCATGCATGAGTTTAAATGCGCTCTACTACTTCCATAAATCGAGTTTCCAAGGGTTAATCGTTTCTTACTTGTTTAGATGAACCAAGCAGAAATTTCGGTCCAAATGTGCTCAAGAAAAACCACGGACAACAGCTCCTTTTCTTAGCTAGATGTAATCTCCAAGTGTTGAGCTAACTACGGTTGAAATTTGAGGTGAAATGATGAAGGTTTAGTGAAGAAATTGAGAAGAAATTGAGGTTGTTTTACTCTTCCTCTTGGTCGGCTAATTGGAGCAGAAAAAGAAGAGCTAATGCTGAAGGTAAGCTTCCGTGAGAAGCTTTATAAGTTGTGGCCAAAAGTTGCTTCAAAGTCAACTAGGAATAGTGCGTGCACGCGCGCGTTTTGTGCTCAATTCCTCTTAAATTTGTTGCACTAGTGCACTAAACCTCTAATGCACTTACATTCATATCATCATTATTCACTCTTAGTAGTCCCAAAATAAAAATCTAAGGTCCTTCAATTAATCGCGCGCGTAAAAACGTGTACTTCCAATTTATACGCGATAGAGCGAAATCTCTAAGAAATTCTTATAACGATAGTGTTACTAACTAATAATTGAGCATTTAAGCATAAAAATACCTATTTTGAGACTAATGTACAAGTCTCCAATTTTTCAACTTTATTGTATTCTCAATTCAATTATTTACTCCAATCTCGTATTCACTATTTTCACTTAGCGAGCCTTCAGAAATTAAATTTTGAAACGAACAACTCTAAAAATATAAGTAAGTCATAGATCAATGTAATTAGGTCTCAAGAGGTTAGAAAATAATATTCGGAGTAAATGGCCAAGTAAATAATAAAATGAGCTAGAATTTGGAGTTTAAAATTAGATAAATTTTGTGAGTCCTCACGTGAGTCGAGTTTTAACTCCTCAAATCTCAATTTAACTTTTCTTAATCTACTATTGATCATTCTTACTTCTCCAAAATTAATACACTCTCGATTCAAATATAGTCTCGAAAAACGTGTACTCGTTGTTCCGAACTGAACGAGTTTTCGAAAAGTAAATTTTCTAACAAAATGCTTTAAAAACATAAGAGAGGCGTTTTTTCATATAAATGGATTTTAAGTAGTCGAATTAAATAATTC